TTGGACTGTACGTGAATTGTTGCATTCATATTTTTTCATAAATGTAATAAAAATTCTGTCATTCGACATGAGAAGTCAAAATGTAATAACTTTTTTAACAGACCCGCAAAATTTCTAAAATATTGTACAATGTTTTATTAATGTAATATCTAGTAAATGTTAAAATTTCAATGGTTTGCCATTGTTTTTATGTATGGGTTCATACAACCTTAACAGAATTTTAAACTTTAGAAGGATATATGAAGAATATTGTGTGTCAAGGCTTCGGAGCTTTCACTGATATTGGATTTTAAGTGTTAAACCATTTCGAACCTGTCACGGAGAATTATTACCGCGTTTATCGATCGGACGTAACCAAGATGTTCCCCTCGTTTATCATGTAGAATCTAGGGGCAACGTGTGCCCACGGAGCGTGCACGGTATCAGCCGTGAAACTTGCAATTACACAAATAATCGGTGAATATCGGGCACTTTAACTCGGTCCGAACAAGAGCCGGCCCGATAAAAAGATTTCGCTGGATTTCCCGAATAAATGTTTTCGCACGACCGCGTGATTTATCGCGCGAGCGCACCATTAGCGGCTAGTTTGAAACAAAGCAATTTATTGCGCTCAACCCGCCGTGCGCTGCACTTTTTTTTTTCTCCCTTTATACCGTGCGTCCCCCCTCACCGTTTCCGAACGCTCCGATTATATCCTCTCGGCATTTTATTAATGCCGCAAAACGTTGCAGCTTTTACTGTTTTCTGTGGGACAAATTGTACGCGCGGGTATGCTGGTTTTAATTATTATTCCGGTCCGATCGTCTTTGAATTATCGGTTATGTGGATTCGCCGCGGAGTTTGGTTGGTTCGGGATGAAAAATTGCGGCAGTGGCTCGGGAACGTACAAAATAAAAGTCGGTGGTTAAAAGTTTATGCTTAATTTGCTCTCTACTCGTTATTGAAGGAACGAGGCGTAAAAAGTAAAGGATCAAGAACGACCAAATTTTTTGGCAACCGAGAAGTCTAGTGGGAAGGATTGAAAAGACGGATGTAAAAGAAAGCGATGAATAACGAAGAGAGGTAGTTAAAATTATGTAAGTACAAAAAAGTGTGTGGAAGTGTCTTTGATGAAGAGGAGAGCCGGGGAAAATGCAGCATAAAATTTAACAAGTGCTGCTTAACAAGAGTATGACGTCAAGGATTTAGAACATGAAACCAAGTGTAAAGATCATTTTTTGCACGATAGTAAAAAGGTGGCTAAAAATGTACGAGACCGGTGACGTTAAAACGAGCTTTAATTGAATTTAAAAATAAAAATATATGAATATTGAAAGATATATTGCAATTTAGAACTTTATTCATTTCACATAAAAACAATGACAAAGCATTGAAATTTTAATAGTT